CGACCCCAGTTGACAGTGTTGAAGAGCTACAGGAAAGAATATTCGCGGCGGCTGATGAGATTCGCAACAATCCCATAATTTTTGCTCGAGTCCGTAACAACTTTGATAAACGTGTTAGGTTGTGTTTAGAAAGAAATGGCAATTATTTTGAAAATGTCCTTTAACTAAGTTTTTTGTTTTTTCTCTTTTTGATAATAAATTATTTCTTAGTTTCGTTTTCATTGTACTTCTATTTAATAAAAGTTTCTGCGACATTCAAACAGTTATTTGTGCAACTACTGTAAAGAGTGTGTATTTGTTGTACGATGCATGAAGTTTGCAGCTCGAGACGAAGTTGAGAGCTGCAATCATGTTAAGTGCAACAAATATGCTTTTTGCACATGTTGCACGCAACATTTTTTCTACGATTGTTTTTATTTCAAATTTTATTTAACAGTATTTTACATAATATTAAAATTTTAACTGACAACTGGAAATTAATTGCGCAAATTGTCAATGTCAGACGTTAGGTACTTATGGATATGCTTAGATTAAACTTGTAATCAATATTTTTTTTGTACTACTGTAAAAAAAGTTAAACTTTTGGCACAGTAGGTAGTGCAATAAGTAGTAAATTTTGCACGATCGTAGAAAAAAACACTTGTAGCATGTCCACATATTCATCATTAGTAAAATTTGGCATAATTCTTGTTAATTTACACCCAAAAAGTATTTAGCTGATAACAGTGACAACTTACAGAAGAGTTAATTGTGACAACTGGCATGACAGCAGCACACTTAGTTTTTCTTTGATTGATTGCAATCATATACGGTGTGAGGTGAATGGTAATACATTTTATTTTTTTATTAATAAACGAAAAGTTTTAAAGGAAAATTGCTAGAGAGGTAAAAGTTTCTAAAAGAACCAGTTTATCTAATGCGTATTTTTGGATATCGAGTTTTTACGAAATATAAAAGTTATGGCAAAAAATGGCTTGAGGGGTGGTTATTTCAACCCCTTTCGAGGGGTTAAAATTTTCGAAAAATAGTTGAAAACTCGCATCTGTATTAGTAAACAACCTGTAAAAAATTTGTTATTTGTACCTCGTTCGGTTTTCAAATTACAGCCAATTTTCATAATTTTTTTGGAAACTTTGATGGCCCATATCTCTTCAGGGGTGAACATTTTACTAAGGCGATTTTTTTGCAGATCGTGTCCTTTTGAAATGTAGATTCACTGGTATCATTTATGCTACTCCATTCAAAGACACCCTGTATACTTATAGCCACAGACAATATCGATAAGCTACATTGTCTGTGATATAGCATATAATTTAATTCTTCTTCACAGTTCATAGATCATAGTTTTCAATATTGTGCTATAGTTTAAAATTTCTAAGTTTGAAATTACATCGACACTATAAGTAAACGTTTGTTAACGTTAATAAACACCGAATGTCAAACGTGCGTCACACCAGCTCTATGTAACAAACTTTTCGCATTAAATGACAAACTAGTAAGACGTTAAACATAAGGCACCATGATTGTTATAGGATAACAATGCCCTCGATCGATGTACATCCTTCGGACCAGAGAAATATTATCCATACAGCACCCTTGGTACCGTAATTACTATATACTATTGGATATAGATCTATATCATTGTAATCCCAAAAAAGCATGCTTTAGAGGTTATATACTCGTTTCTTCCTAAGAACAAAAACAAAAGAGATAAGCTACTGTGGGATAGAAGGTTTGTGGGTAATCCTTTACGGGGATATTTGCACAAAATTGTAATTATCTTTTTTTAGCTTTCTATGTAGAAAAAAATGATGAGCATCTAAATAGGAAATATTTTTTGATATCAAAAATTCTGGTATGCAAATATATCTAAATTAAAATAATACCTTAACTGATCATATTGATATACAGTTCATATTAATCTAGTCATATCGTTAACACTTTCGACTGTCGTTTCAAAATTTTATCGTTTCTAAGAATTTATATTATGTTCTGTTCATATTTATTCATTTCATTAACAAGAAGGCCAATTGACAAGGCGGAAATAGCTAGAATCTATTCCGGGTATCCCCTATAATTCAATAAACAAAGAAATATAAATAAAAAATTTAGATACATTTGGAACGAATACACTGAAGATGAATTTTTCGAGACAAAACGTCTGAATCTGGTTCGGGCTGAGGCAATACAGTATTGGGGGTCATGAAGGCTTGCAAAAAATGTAATACAATTTCTAAGGTCATGTTTAAAAAAATGAAGTTGATGACGGTCCTGGAAAGACGAAACGTTACATACAAAAATTGATGATGCCATTCGATAGAGGGCAAAAAGTGGCCATGAGAAAGTGTTGTTCTTTTTTCAATCACCTCAAACAAGGCTGAAATTAAACAAAAACGGATTTCCAAAATTTGTTTTTTTTTTCAAATATTTCGAAAACTAATCATGTTAGCCTTGATTTTTTAGAGGCATAATGTTGGTCCCCTGATTACGCAACTTTACCCCCATTTAAGCTGCTGCGTAGCTCTTGCCGTTTCCGAGATCCATGTAGTGAGAAGCGAAGTTGTAACAGTTGTATTGCTGAAAATATATACAAATTGCAATTTGGCGGGATGGCTAAATACAGGGTGTTCTATTTAAAAAATCGTATGTTTATGAGTACGCCAATGGCTTCCTCATAATAAATAGAACAACTTATGTTCAAACTTTTTTCTTCTAAATTTAATGACAACGGAGATAGAGGGGTTAATGAAAATGTGTGATTTTTCAAAAAAAAAAAACTGTATATAAAACTAATCAAGTTAGCCAAGATCTTTTGGTACCAGCAAAGTAAACTCAAAAGAAGAAGACGGGATATCGATATCAAATTTTTTGTTTCTATCACCGTTTTGGCTGTGCCCTATAAACTATCCAAAATCAATCACCCTGTACATAAAATATCTCCAAATTGAAAACATAATTTCGTCTAACAAAATAGCGTATGTGCCAAAGTCCATTTATTCCTTACATTTCCTAAAAACTTTATAAATATTTTAGGTGGGAAATGACCATTTCGCGACTTTTTGTTTCGGCAAGCTGAATTTATTATTATGGATGCTAAATATTTTGTACAATAACATATTAGTTTTCACAGTCATAAAAATGGGGGGAATATTGAAAAACAACGGAGTTGCAGATTGTCATAGTTGACGGCCTATTGTTAAACAAATTAGGTTGGTAGCGGCCAAAAAAATACTGTCATAACCGGCAACCCGAGTACTTTCCCAGGTAAAAATATTTTATTTGTGGAAGTATGTTAAGTGCATAAGAAATATTGTCAAAAGTCAGTGGGTCGCTTGATTTTCGGCTAGCCGTGGCGCGGCGGAAGGGTGGGGGAATCGAACGACAGCGAGTCCGAAGAAAATAACGATAATATTCATAGTCCTGCCGTTAAATAAGGGAAATTCGCTTGAAAATAATTTATTTGACAGTCTGTAACTCCGTTGTTTTTCAACGAATCTTGACGATTTTTTTTCAACGTAAAGTTCTTTTGATAAGCTTTCCGAATATGTAATAATATTTAACTATATCACTCTCGTGCGTCGTATATTTCATTTTGCAACTAAGGCAAAAAATAAAAAAAATTCCTGGTAGCAAATTTGAAATTAAAAAAAAATGATGATAGATTTTATTGTATTATTATGAAATCTACCAAGAAAAAAATCAGTGCGATTGTGGAAGATCCTGGGGAACGTCCAGACTAATAATAATTAGTTAATTTGTTTGTAAGGCCATAACTTGTAAACTATTCAACTTACTGATTCCAGATTTCGTGTGAGTTATTAGACAGTGATAAGGAAAGAGAAGAGGCGATGCCAAAACTTTCTGGTAATAATGACGTAGTTTATAAATGTTTAATTTAAAAGTCATAAATAAACTTCTTCTGTTTATAACTTTTGATCTAATCAACATTTTTTGACGCTCGAGGGCTAGTTTTGTAGATCTTTTGAAGACGAAAAAAAGTACACTACTGTTTTCTCGTGGAAATGAACGGAAAAAAAGGTTATAAGCAAAAAACGTGAATTTACGTAAAAATTATACAATTAACCACCCTGTAAACAATCTTCCCCCATTTTTATGACTGTGGAAACTAATATGTTATTGTACACAATATTTAGCATCTATAGTGATAAATTCAGCTTGCCGAAACAAAAAGTCGCATCAAAGTAGTATTATTTCCTGGACTATTGTTTTAAAATTTAAGTAATATTTCCTGAGTTTTCACAGTTTGCGATTCACAAACAGGTTTGCTCCTAATAATTAATTTATTCTTCAACACCCAATAAAATAATTCGACATAATGGGGAACATAATTTGTTTGAATCGTATATACGTTCAGATATGATCTCCAGAAAGTTGTGCAATCTGTTTCGTCATTTTGTTGTTGTTGTTGTTGTTTGTTAATGGAAAAGTTCTTGATATCCCAAATTTAAGTGCTTTGTAAAATTTACGTATAAACTAATTTTAGAGAGAATCTTACTAAGTTTTATTTATTTTGTGGATAAGAAATTATATTGAAATAAACTAACGTACACACCACAGCTGAAGTGTACCCGTAATTTCGTATATACTATTACGACAAAGTAACACCGACACGAACAGATATTTTATTAAAATGGTATAACTAACATTATGTTTGCTTTACACCTACACCAGAACAGAAATAATTGTTTTCCGTGAAGAGGAAAAACAAACCGCCTTCGGAATTATACATTTACGGGTATTACACTAAAATTATTTCTCTGCTTTCTTGTTTGCTATGGTGCGGTGTCCCGTTTGGTCTCCCAGAAGCAACAAGTGGTTGGGATTTGTAAAGGCAATTAAATGTATATTAAATTACGTATATTATATTTTATGATTTATACTCCGTGTTATTTCGAATGCGATAAAAAGCGATAGTTATTGTTCGCAAACGACTTAACAAATTTAGATTTACATGTGCATCCATAGTCGTTCTGTTTCAGCCGAATCCGCTCGCTCAATTGCAGCAGCAGACAGAGATGTGGCACAACTTTCAGGACGACATGAGGCCCAGGTCTTCAGGTACGTTACTAATTATCATTCTTAATTCCTTTTTTTATTAAATACAGGGTATAATAATGACGTGGCTAACGTTTAGGGCTCATTTCCCTCGTCAAGACAAATACCTAACACAGAACGCAGTTTGCACATAATATAGGGTTCAATAGCCGTGCCAGAATTTTAAAATGTTATGGTGACAATGAAAAGTCAATGTCAAACGTTGACCACTGTATTTAATACAATGCGGCAAGTTATAAACAAATCAACAGCGCGTAGAATTTATCCCAATTTACCATCACAGCAGGTGTTCTGTTAGCCAAACGTTTCTCACTGAAAGGTCTACTCATTATTTAATTGAAAAATTTCGACAAACGGGCTGTGTTGGAGATAAGTCAACATCTGAAAGCCAGAGTATAAGAGATGATCCGAACCTCTCTATTTACCGTCGTTTCCACTTGGAAATTGGGATACTTGGTCTTTCTCAGACGTGTCAAATTTTCATCCCTATCTTCATTTAAAGGCCTATAGAGTCCTAATTACCTAATTAAGATCTGAAACCAGTTAATCATCATCTACATCGAATTTTTGCGAACAGGTCTCCCGAGTAATTGGAACTCTATCCACATTTTTTCCGATGGAGCGCATTTCTGGCTCAATGGAATTTCAAATAAACATAGTTGCAGAATTTAGGTTGATAAATCCTTAATGATTTCAAGAGGCGCCTCTTTTGCCTCGGGAGATCACCGTTTGGGGTAGTTCTTGGGTCAAGGCCTGATCGGCCCTTATTTTTTTAACAGATTATCTTCGGCCTAAACTGATAGATATAGACAATGTTTCTTTTTTCAAGAAGACGGCAGACAATTGATTTATTGCCATAACAGTTTTCTGGGCGGGTTATTTCGGGAAAAGTAAACGTCAACTGGCTACCAAGATCCTGTGATCTCACCCCCTTAGAATTTTTCCTGTAGGATTACGTGAAATCTTCGGTTGACAGATATAAGCGACACCAGTGGTGGTAAAACTGGATGTGATCTGAACGATTTAAACTATCTAAAAAATGCATAATGATGTCCTATGTGAAATGTTCTATGAGAAATTGAACTCTTACTCCTAAATACAGCCGATGGTTTAACGTAACACAAATTTTGGTGCAAATATAAAAAAGATGATGTTTGTGAGCTTATGCATAAGGGATTGGGATTTAAATCTGTTAGAACAAACATTAAAATGCAGATTAATGCGTTTTATAACAATTTTGTTCGTACTATTGAACCATCATCACAAATCAGATGCGTTATATTGAATACTATTGCTATCTTTTTTAGCGGTTCATCCTTAGGCGATGATGATAATATGGCTGCAAATAAAGTTAACTTTTAACAGTTTGAATAGGTACCCGCGTTTTGTATTTCGTTGAGGTAGATATCAGACGTGAAAGATTATTGGGCCTGATGGCATCCTTTTTGTTTATTAGGGATTGTAATTCTTATCACATCTTGTACAGTTTGTGTCTCACTACTTGTAGCATTTGGAACATTCATCTAGTACATTATTAATGTGATGAGAAAATGTTATTTGCGAGTCAAACACTACACTTAAGTCTCTCACTTCAGCAACCCTTTTATTTCGGTTAACTCTTGCTAATCTTGAACTGTCAATCAAAATGTAATGGATTAGATGTCCTAATGTAGGCCATAGCGTAGAATTTACTTATGGAACGCAATTAATTGTTTATCATGTATTAACTTTGTCAAGTCAAGTTTGCAGTGTAATTGTATCTTAAGGAGAATTAATTTTTGAAAATAACTTGAGACTGTCAGCATATAGAAGGCAGTTATTGTCAATGAAGTTAACGATGTAATTTATAAAAATGAGAAACAGTAAAGGTCCGAGACGGGAACCATGGACAACAGACGTAGCAATATATTCAGAAAGGTAAAATTTAATAGACTAAGCCGATTATTATCAGAGATGCTAGTCATATCCAGTATATTGAGCATAATACCGTAATGAATTTTATCAAATGCATTACTGACATCGGTATAGATCAGCCTGATTGTAAACATCTTAAGCAACAAACAGATTTTGAATCAAGTATAGAAGCAATAGTTGTAATGGATCTATCTTTCCTGAAACTATGTTGAACTGAAGTAATTTTTCGATTAACTTTACTATGATGAATGGGGGCCCTAGGTATGTGTAAAATTACATTTTTCTGCCATTACTACCTGTCACAGTAGTTGAATGTGTGTCGCTTATTGGGGCGTATGTAGGGCAGTGGATGGTGGAGGGGGGACCTTTGTACTAAAATCGATCAACGTTTGTTTGGCCCCAAGTTCTAAAAGTCATGCATTTTTTTTATTCTTCCAATTGGACCGAAAGTCGCGCTTAATGAATTTTGATGGTATAAACAAACCGTGGAAATCTTTAAATCTTCATATTAAAAGAGATGTGCAGTCAAAATTAATACGCTTTAAAAGAAAAAAATCTAGTTTAGTCTATTATCTTGAAGAGTAATTTATAATTTTTACGTATGTTAGAAAAAACAATAAAATAAACATAATAGAAAGGTACAAAAGGAATACGCCGATAAAAATCACTGAAATTAGTTTTGAGATATGTTGAAATCTCTGCCACGTTGATGTTGCTTCCAGCCCCAATCTGTTGCTGTCAATTCGTTACCCAGCCAAGTTTGAAGCTGGTAATATGCCCTGTAACAATGTTGTTCTATTCTCAAAATTGTACATAATGATTAGAAAAAAATTTTCGGATTCTAGTTTTTTTCGTTTGTTTGCATTTCCTGAGAAAACTTACCATAGTAATGTATATATTTTTTTACACCATCAGAAAGTAGAGATTTCAACGAAGAAAAAGCCCATCGACGTTTTTAAAAAAGCAGATATTTTGACGTGAGAATTTTCGATTGAAAATTAGGGTGCTTTTTCGATATTAAGTAAAAATAAGGTGAAAAAATAAATATTTCAAACAAAAAAATTACAGCGTGTTTGGGACATAAATAGGTAAGTTTTCACCAAATTTCGTGAAAAAAAAATTTTTTGTAAAAGAAAAATAAAAAACCAAAAATTTGAATTTTTCACATAAATTTTGAGGTTATGTGAAAAAAGTGTAAATACAAAAGTTGTAGATCTTTTTATTACCTACAACTTTGCCATTTAACTTTTTTCCATAAGACTTGTAGTTTTTCCGGAAATCAAGGGAAACCGCTTTTTACCCTTAAAAACTCACCCCCTTCCCCTTCCCGACCTCAGATCGCCCGTAAATTATTTTTCCTTTCATTTCTGTTATATTCTCTTCCTTTTCCAATGGGTTTTTTTTTTCACTTTTTACCATTTTTGAAGGCTTAATCACTGGTCTAACAATAAGGCCCAGTACTTTGAGTCTCTGTTAAACCTTGATCAAGTAATCACACGATTATACTGTACATAAACTGATTTATTTTATAATAGTATATTCACTGTCTAATCGCCTGATTAGTTAATCAAGTCCTTAACCGAGACTCAAAGTACCGGGCCTAAATGTATGTTATTAAAAAAATTCGATTTTCTCAAAAACGGTACAAGATATCGATTGATATACGGTATACCTTTTTTTTTAACAAAGTGGCAAACTTGGCAACGCTGTCAAAGATGTATAAATTTAAATGGTTAATTTCGTCTTCTCCTGCATAATCCAGGCATATTGAATATCAGTTTCAACTTGGAAACGAACATTACCAGAGTTACTTTCATTGCCCAAATTTCATTGTTGTTATGGTAAGTTATAGGTACTTGGAATTATTTGTTTTTCATAACTCCACAACGAATCCCGATAGGAAAAATTTATTTATGAAGTACTACAACTATTTTGATCTCTCCTGTATATCTCATTTTTTATATGATCTTTCCAGACACCCTGTATACATTTATTCTATTAGTTAGTTGCCAAAATTTTCATCGGAGATTTAGTGACAATGTCACAATGTTTGTAAACCAATACACAGAATTTTTATTTTAAATTAAGTCTTTAGCCGTCGTTTCGTCGATCTGCGTCACCCATATTCAGAGAAATTTAAGTAATGTGTTTAAATTCCATTACCTTATATTTCGGAAATCAGTGGTTAGATTTTCCGTTCATTCAAGTTTTTTCTCTCAAGTTTCTAAAACGATCTAAAGAACGAACCTCTGAAGTTACAACGTGGACTTTTTCTGTTTTTTATGACCTTCGCCTATGTATCATCTTTTACAGGAAACCATTACATGCTTCAAGAGGTCCCGCCGCCTTTCCAGCACCAGCCGTCTCCACCCCTCAGCATACCCAGTCCGATGATGATGGACAAGCACCGGCAAACTCCGCATGCACTCCACCCGGTGAACGGCACGGTATTGCCGATGACGCCGCCGCTCTCCAATATCTCCATGACGCCCCCGCATTCCAACGAGAACGTCCCACCGGACGAGGCCCTCCATACGCACCAGGTGTGCAAGCCTGTCGGTGGAGGGGAAGAGATCTTCGAGTCGAAACATATAATTGACCCGGTGCAACCGCTCATGGAGAACAACATGCAGCAGAACGAGGGGTTCATGCCAGTTTACGAGCAGAATATGGTGGCCCAGCCGCAGTTTGAGAAGGTGGAGGATGTAAAGATGAAGAAGGTAGGATTTTCTGAGATTTAGAAGGTATTTCAGAAAATAATAGTAAATTTTATATTTCGAGACATAAATCAATTGTACTCGTAGATACAAGTAGTGTTATTCTTCTATCCAATTACTCTTTTTTTTTTTAATATAGTACTCACGATTGCATTATTTTTTTTATTTTCATTAGAGTAGAAGTATATATTTTTGGTTGTGCCTTCAGCTAGGAAGGCACCACTTAATCACGTTTTTACTCCTAAACCTTTATCCCCTAAAACGATCCTTTAGAAAAAGAAAGAAGAATGCTACAAAATTTGGAAAATCACTCCTCAAATAGAGCAGGAGTTACATGTGATTGTATACGTTTTCATGCTATGAAATAATATCTCCAGATAAAAGTCCTTAGCCACAAACTTTTCCCTAATAGGAGAAAGTTGTGGATTTTCGCTCATGATTCTCGAATACTTGGGGGGTGGTAGAATTCTGGATGGTTGTTACAACACCTGGTGTCGAAAATATGTCTTCACGTTAGCCTTATTCCTTTTGTGTATACCGGTTGTCATTAAATAGATAACCAACTTCATTTTCAAAATGTAGACTGAAAATTTGGAAGGGTCAATGTCAAAATGTTATGCTGAATCTGAATATGAATCTATGCAGGATATTTGTCCTAGAATAACTACATGAACCTGGACTAATCAACTAGTTCATGTAGAGTCATTTAATTGATTTTCAGGTAATACCTACAAGTAGGAATTGGAAAGATATCTTTTACTCAATTTTGCTGATTCAGAAATATAAATTTACAAGCGTGGACTATAGAATTTGGATTATAAATATCCCTTCACTGAATCTAGAAATCGACTCCATATTCCATAACATCTTAAACCTTTCTAGATTCGATTAGTGTTCAGTTTATGCATGCCTATTTTTCAGTTGAAAAAAATAACTGCAATGACTATACTTGAGAAAAATTTTAAAATTAATTACTTCAATTTCATTTCTTTTTTTGTGGTTATTTTAAACTGAAGGTATACATAGTGGCATTTACCAGTAGCCAGTTATGATTTAACCCAACTGGACTCTATTTTGACATAATAACGATCCATTGTAGATAATTTACAGAAAAAGTCTGTATTTAAAAAATTCAAATAGAGTCGAAAAAGATTTCTGTTTTCACTAAATCATTTCGTGCATTAAATTATATAAATTAAAGAAATATACATAGTGTTGACAAATGAGATGCTATATTTTTATCTCAAAGTAACTATACTGTGATAAAAAACACCTGATCAAACATTTTCTCTTTTCTTGTTTTTTTTTCTCACTTTATAAAGTACTTACATATAACAACATTGCAAATCTGTAGACCTAGGATTTGGTTTACTGTTATGCTACTCTCTTATTTATTTCTTCCTGTTTCCATCTAGTTCTTGATGTTCGTATTTTCCTCCTATACTTATTACTTTGTATTAACTTCGCAACTATTTATGTGCATTCTTAACCTAACCATCTCAAAGTTTGTCTCTTAATTAAGATTCAATAAGGTTTGGTTTATTATACATATAATAACTTCAATTCTTTATTATTTCTTCCTTCCCATCCGCCTTGTACTTTTCTACCTCCATATATTTTTCCAGACTTACGCCATATTTTGTTCCAATGTTCCTAATGTCCACAGTTGGTTGCAAAGTCTTTTGTACTTAATTTACCTTAAAATTTCTTTTTCCTGTATTATTTTTATTAACGTACCAGTACGTCCGATTCCAGCTGTTATTCTGTTTAATTTCCTGTTTGTATACGAGATATGCAACTTGATCCATATTTTACCAGAGAATATCAATCAATAATAATATGAATGAATGACATTGTTAGAAAAATGTTCATAGAAACTGATTGTGTCTTATTTTTTGACATAGTTCTTCTGATTCACAACTCATTTGGTCTACCATAAGCTTATGGATACTCTTTACAAAAAGGCTGTTTGGTTAAGTCTTTAATCATTCACAACAGAATGATTGTTGTGTTGTGATAATACTACCAATGAATGAATTTTCGAATGTTTTAATCTCAACACTGGATCAACACTAAGTATGTCAGTATAGGGCGACTGCCTTCTGAAAAGATGACCAGCAGATCACTCTACTTCCTTGAAAAAGAACCATCTCGACGATTGTTCTATATTTTTTGAGTGATGCATTAAGATGTAACGATGTAACGTTTGAAAGGTTTATTACAAATTCTTTTGAAAAGGGGCAGCTACAATTTTGTAGATGGGTAGACTGGATGTTATGCAGCAGTGGCACAGTGTCGAAAAATACAAAATACACAATTTCTGTTAGCACTCTTAGGCTAGGTGTACACTTGCGATATTTTGTCGGAGTATTATTTATTTAACCGCTTAAGTAGAGTATGTATATAATTTTAATTGAGAATTCGATATTTGCAACTAGAAAATAGCACACAATACAATACTTAACACTATGAAGCACACATTTTTCACGAGAACGCAGTGATATTTCCCCCACGGATCCTTATATTTGACAGTTGACAGCTGCCCAAACAATGTCTTATTTACGAAACGGCTTGAGATCTTGGATAATATTGCTGGTAAAGGTGTTTTTGACATCGCTGATCCCGAATCTGATATTAAAAGTGCCTCTTGATAGTTGACAGCTGTCATATAAACACTGTCAAAATGACAGAATGAATGGATTTTTCAAGAAAGTCATTCCTGAGGATTTTTGGGAGTGGGAATTTCTTCGACGTGCCGACAGCCGAAAATAAGAAGGAATCGATATTGTCAAAATAATAATACCCAAAGGGTTTCTGAAGTTACTGATCTCGAAATTGACATCAGAAATGCCTTTTGGCAGTTGACAGCTGTTATGTCGATGTCAAAATGATAACATGGATTTTTTTTGTAAAGATGACTCCCAGGTGTTTTTGACATAGCAGATAATAAAAAAATGACTTCTAAATGTTGGCACCTGTATATCGTGAAAATAATGGTTGGATAATGAAAGAATCACCAGCATTTCATTTTGGTCCGCAAAGTACACTGAACACGATTCAATCTAAATACCGGTCTAAATTTCCTCATTCCTGAAACATTACTCAGTCTTGTTATTACCCAAAAGTCAATTTCAGTGTCCAACTTGGGGTCTGTACCCCCACTTCTTAGAAATCACATTCTCGAAAAAGTAATCTATTCTCTCATTTTGATAGCATCGACATGACAGTTGTCAACAGTCAAAAGGTATTTCTCATGTCAACTTTAGATTCGCCGGTGTCAAAATAACTTTTACCAGCAATATTTTCTAAGATTTCGAGTTACTTCGTCAATACGACATATTTTTGACAATTGTCAGTTGCAAATTTATATTTTTTTTATCTAGGATTCGTAATCAGCGACACAAAAGTATCTCCGAGTATAAATTTGCAGAAGAAAATTCCTCAAATTTTTCATAAAAATTATTTTTTTCCTCCCAAAAAAAAGTTTTTATTTTTTTGTTAATTACATCATTATTACAACAATTGATAGAGCCTTCTGGCAAATGAAGTAACGTTACCTCAAGGGTAGCCCAGGGTAACCCAAAAAATGCAAAAACCCGTGGTTCTAATGTAAAATTGAGAATAAATGGCCAAAAATTGAAGTTGAGGTAGTAATATGGGTTGCCATTATTCCTGTAAAGGTTAATTACTGTATAAAGTATATTTGTATTGGTATCAGTTTTATTTACTACTACTGCAGGATTTTAAATGTTAGAAAAATGGCTACCTATTTTTTGGGTGTATTAATTTGACGCGGACTTATATTTATCAGAGTTGTCAAAATATGTATGCCGTGGTGTGAAAGAAGTATTGTGTTCCTACGCGCATGTGATGATGTCACTTGAGAGCCCGACTGACGAAATCATGGCACATTTTGTCATGGAAATGCAACTTTCTGTGGTTTTTCTAATAGTCCAGAGCTATCCTCATATCATTAATTTTCTTTCTTCAAACTTCACAAAATATTTAAGGTTACATTCACGTTTAGGCTCTAAATACTTAAACAGACTTTTTAACACGATTCATACTATATGCAAATGTGGAAATTACAATTTTTACGGTCATGATAATAATATACTTAAATTGTCTGTTAATACATAATACATAGCTGTACCGTAGTGTGTATACAGGCTGTTACAAATTCGCTTCTCACTACAGGGATCTCGGAAACGGTAAGAGATACGAAGTAGCTTAAATGGGGGCAAAGTTGCGTAATCAGGGGACCAACATTGTGCCTCTAAAAATCAAGGCTAACATGATTAGTTTTCGAAATATTTGAGAAAAGCCGAAATGGAAATCCGTTTTTGTTTAATTTCAGCCTTGTTTGAGGTGATATTGAAAAAAGAAGAACACTTTCTCACGGCCACTTTTTGCCTTCTATTGAATGGCATAATAAATTTTTATATGTAACGTTTCGTCTCTCCAGGACCATCATCAACTTCATTTTTTTAAATACCACCCTAAAAATTTTATTACATTTTTTGCAAGTTTTTATGACCCCCAATACTGTACTGCCTTAGGCCGAGCCAGATTCAGACGTTTTGTCTCGAAAAATTCATCTTCAGTGTATTCGTTCCAAATTTATCTAAATTTTTTGTTTAGATTTCTTTGTTTATTGAATTATCGTACACTGTAAGTGTCGTTAGACCCTGTGATCTCTGTGTTTTTTTTTATTTTTTTCCCCCCGCGTTTTAATATTATCTTTTTTTTAGTTTTTTTTTCGTGTGTCTATTTTTTTGTTTTTCTCGTGTTCTCAATTTTCACACATTTTTCTCTCTTTTTTTTTGGGTATTTTTATACATATATCTGTGATTTTCTTTTTCAGTTTTTTTGTTCTAACGCGAGTGTTTTTTTGCCTTTTCTTGAATTTTTTTTTTTTTTTTTTTTTTAATTTTTTTAAAGAAGAGTTCAGTTAGCGTTTTGATTGTTCATTAGCATTTTTAAGAATAAATTTGTCATAATAAAATTAAAATTGTAATAATGTTTTAATTTTGACGCAACAACTTATTGAGTTATGTA